GCTTGGGCTTCTTGGAGGTATCCATGGTGAAGAGCAGGGGAGGGCGGTCTCCGCCAAGTATAGCACGCAGCTCTTTGTAAAAGCGACAGGTCTGTGGCTTGGCACCAGATCAGCTGTTGGCCTCTCTGGCTTTCTGATATGCCTGATGCAATCCCTTCACTTTCACATGACACTGTGCTGATCCCTGTCATGCCCTTTCTCCTACATCCCCCATGCAATCTGCTCATAGATGTTGATGTTTCTACGGCTGGTCCGTAGCTGTGATTGCACAGCCTTTACTTCCCATAGACCCAGGAGATCCAAGAGCTCCTCTCTATTCCAGGATGGAGCATGGCTGGAGCATGTAGCTGGCATGGTCATTTGGGCAGTTGCACACAACAATGGGAGCTGCTAGGTGTGCTTGCCAAGCTGGACAATCAGGAAAAGGCATTTCAAAAATTTGCTGGGCTTTAAAAGGGAGGGGGGCCCTCCAGTCTGCCTGACCCTGGGCAGTGGAGTTCACAATTGTGACCAGAATGGTCAGTGTCAGGCATTTTGGGATAGCTGTTGGAGGACTGTTAGAGTTGACAAAGGTAACATAGTGTCTAAATTTGCACTGTGTTGACCTCAGTACACCAACCATGGCTCAACGCCACTAAGGGAGGTGGTTGCTGCGTTGCTGTAACTGGGCACTTACATCAGTAGGAGACAAATTTAAACATAGACACGTGCACAACTAGGTCAATGCAAGGCAGCTTACCGTGACCCAACTTTGTAGTGTAGACCAGGCCTTAGAATAGGTATATGTATCACTTGGATAATTGTTCTTACACAGTCAGTCCCTCCAATATCCTCCTCCTTGATTATTTTCTCTGAACTCACTCCAGTTTGTCAGTCATCTCCTGGTAGGGAAACATCCAATTCTAGGTGCCAACTCAACACAGTGTTTTAGAGCATGGATCATCCCTTTGTGTATATGGCCAAAACCTCCATTGGCTTGTTTGACTTCCACATCTCATTGCAAATGCCTGTCTTGTTCGCTGCCTCCAAAGTTTCAGCCATACTTGCTGCCCCGATTTCCTCCTCTCTGAGGACCTGTTTGATTAATTTCCCCCAGACTGAGTCTCCTGGGAAAAGCAGGATCCAGTGCACTTGTGATTTATTACCTGCTGCCCTTTTGGGCTTAAGGGAAGGCACCTGGGTCTTAAAAAGGGGAGACAACAACTGGGGAAGTTGCTGGGAGAGCTGTTACAGAGCTGCTGAGAAGGCTCAGGAAGGAAGTTGCTGGGGGAGCTCCTGGAGGAGTAGCTTGAGAATACAGCAAACACAGGCAAACAAGGGGACCAATACAACCCCTTGACTTCAAGGGAAGAGACTGAGTAGAGGTACTGATAACTGTACCTAGCAAAGAGGTTGGTGCTAGGTGGACCTTATAGATGAGGGTCTGTGTCCAGTGGGAGACAGAGGTGGAAGAATCCTTACTGTGCCTTTGTTTTATGTTAAACCAGACCCCAACAAGACGGTTTGTTATTGGACACAAGTGCCTGTGGGACAGTAAAGGGAACCTGAGGCCAGGCATCACAGAGCCACGCTTGGCCAGCAGGTGGCACTGCAGAGTAGGCCTGCCCATTTACAGGCCCTTAGGATTATTTGTCTGTCCTCATAGATGTCCAGCTCCTCCCTATTTCTTATCACCTAGGAATGTCATTGGTGTTTTTATTCCCCATTTTGGAATGTTATTAAAGCAGTAGGAGGACCATACTGCTACTTCTGCTGCTTATGGCTCCCCACTTAGACCCTTTCCCATACCTCATTCCATTGTCACGTATCATTCCCCTCAGTTTAGGGGCTTTTAGCCAGTTACTAGGCCAGGCAATGGTCCCAGGTCCAAGCCGGTTTGAATTAATGTTGAATAAGATGATAGGCTCTCCTATCTCAGATGCTTTGCTGGCATCTTGTCACTGCTGGTTGCACCCTTATTCAGTAATTTGTATGTAAATAGGGTGCAGCTGGGCCCAGGACAGCTGCTAAACTGTGTGGGTGGAGGTTGTTTTTGAAGCTAGAAAGATAAGTACATTTAGTATGTTCCTGCTCCTCTAACTCCAGGTGACTGGCCCAGCTCTCTGCATTTGTCAAATATTGACACAGTTGCAAAGTGACCTTAATGACACAGAGATAGCCATATTTGATCCAGGCATCTGTCCTCTGCCACGGTTCCTGGGGAATGAGGCACAGTTGCAGGGGTACCTGCAAATTGCAATCTCCCTTTCCCTGCTGTTCAGTCTCTTACTCCCTGTGCTGACCCCAAGCTGCCTCCTTTCTTTTGGGAAGACAGGAGAGAATAAGCAAGACAACTGTGAATGGCCTAGCTGTAGTATAGAGAAACCTTAACCTTCCTCCAATGCTTTGGTGTGAGGTGATAGTCTGGGGGCTCTGCTTTCCCACCCTGTCAGGCCAAACCATCCTGCCTCAGTGAAAGGGGCCCTAAGGTCACTGCAGTCCTGGAGCTCAGGCCCAAAAATCAAATGGACTAGTAGGGACTGTGACTGAGACCAGGCCCTACCAGTAGCCTCTGCCCCCTCCCCCTCTGTGTGCAGTTAATCAGCTGGGCAAGATCCTCCTGCCCCCAGCTGGGACTTAGAAAGTACTGTGTGCTAATGCTATTGACACCTTCCCCTGTGCGAGAGAGGCTCTGGCTGCTGCACATGGCCCTATTTCCCCAGCTGTCCCAATGGTGTACGTTCTCCTTTGCCTTCACCCTCCTCCCTTCCCCAGCCCCTCTGCATTTCTCTCTCTCTCTCTCTCTCTGGGGATGATTTGCTCATGCTCTCTAGGTAACATAGGTTGTTTCCAGGCTGATCTCTGACCCATCATACAACCTTCCTGACCCAGGGCATCTCAGCTCTTTCTTAAGGGAGTCCTAGGGGATTTCTCCAAATGCCTCAGGGTGTGACTTTCTTCTCCCCAGAACCCCTGTTCTCAGGTCGGGGAGGGAGCCTACGTAACTGCTCTTTGTACCCCTGGCCAAAGAGTCATTTCTCCGTCTGCCCTAATACTAATATTTGCACTCCCCCCATGGAGGTAAACACTAGTTAGAAGATCTATCCAAAGCACAGACCGGAAAAATACTCCATGAGTGCAGAGGGACATAACAAAGAGCTTCATATTGAGCCACTGTCCCCCAGGCTCTGGCAGCCCCATTTTCTGTGCTCTGAACCTGTCCCATGTTACTTTGACAGACCCTGCTCTGAGGAAGCTCACACTCGTGATGGCCACATTGCTATTCTTTAACATGCTGTATGAAGCACTAGACCCTTCTTGGGTTCATTAGTCATTTTGATTTCACAGCTCTCAGGTTAATCCTGCCTTCCTGTTCTCAGCAGATTCCTCCCCTGCATCTCCAGGGCTTATCTGTCCACCTGACTAGTTTCTTGCTTGGCAAAATCTTTTCATCTCCTTTCTTTTTTGGGCTCCCTTTAGTAGATTCCCCCTTTCTCACTTGTGTAGGATAAAAGGGGCCTCCAGCACTGTCCACTTTGTGCCCCCCCCCGGGGGGGGTGTTGTATCAGGAATTGCTTTATTAAACTAACTGGAAAGAACTCCAATGGGCTGTAGCAGCAGCTGCCACCCCCTCAGTCTCCTTGGCAGTGGGGGGAGGGGAGGGGAGCTGATTCTCTGGCAGACCACCGGCTATGGTGCTCAGAGAGGAGAAGAAATGGTTGAATCCTGAACAGAAGGCTTGTGGCAAAGCCATGGGGCAGAGCTGGGAGAAAATTCACTTCCTTAAAGCATTGACTCTGTGTTACATTTCTATAGGGACCAGTCCCTGCTCTGAGGAGTTCAAGATGCAATGCCCAACAAGTTCAGAGGAGAGGGCAAGCCTAGGGGTAGGTCGTCTTCATCCTGACCTTGATCTTTGTGACCATAGTGAGTCTTTGGGAGGGGTTTGGAGGCGGAGAGCTGGGGGGGGGGGGGCGCTGGCACACATGGACTGGGAGGTTGCTTCATGTGTAAGGGGCCACATGGAGGAGAGTGAGCGTGGGCCCAGGAAATGAAGGGAGTGGTGGTGTTGGCATCCTTGGTGAAGCAAGGGGCTAAGAGGAGATCCTAAGAAATGAGCCAGGATGAAGACCATGCTGGAGTTGTGTAGAGCACTGGAGGCAAGGATGAGCAGTTTAAACTGGATGTGATGGGTAAAGGGGAGCTAGTGGAGAGATCCCCAGAGGGGAGGGATGCATTTGGGATTGGTGAGTAAGGGAGAGAATCCTTGCAGTTGCATTTTTCGATGGAGTGGAAGTGGGGGGTGAGTATTGGGGAGGCCAGAGAGGAGGAGGCTGCAGCAATCACAGATGACCAGGGCATTGACAAATGTGCGATGGGCAGATCAGGGAGACTTGGTGCCAGCCTGGATGTGAGGGGAGGTGTTGAAAATGAGTCTAGGGTTATGTCTACACTGTGGGGTAGGCAGGTGATTCCCAGATCACATACACGTGGCTCAGCCGTACTGAGTACAAACTGTCTGAACCCTGTGGGCAAGTACTCAGCATGTCAGCCATGCAGCCGCTACCCGTGCTACCATAGCTACCCTGCTATTTATACTTGCACTAGCTCTCATTGAGCTAGCGTGAGTATGTGTAAGTGAGCTGGGAATCACACTCGTAGCTCATAGTGTAGACATAGCCCATGTGACAGGGAGGCGGTGGGACCAACAGCAATGGGGCAAGGTGGGAGCAAAGATGGCTTGGGAGAAATTGTTTCAGCTATGTTGATCTAGCAGTGACCTCACTAAGGTGGGCTGGGCTCTCCTGGCTCTGCTGCTGGCTCGCTGTGTGCCTGGGAACATCCTTCTCTTTCCATCTGCTTCCATTTCCCCATCTGTGACCTCCTGGCAGTTGTGAGGCTGCAGTCACTCGTCTTTGAAGTGTTTGACCTGCCCAGTGTGATGGTGGTTATGACAGCGCTATATCAGAGCTAGGTAGTATAATTATTGTTGTTTTATTATGCTGCTCAGACCAGTAAAATGGTTGAAAGTGAAAATGCGTGAAGGGGAGGGAGAGAAGCCAAGCGAAGGAGGGACAGCAGGAGCCTCAGCCCCTGCTGTCCCTGACACACCACACACCCTGACCTCCTGGGTCCTATTTCTTCATGTTGGTTCAACATTAACCCAGACGGGGCTGGGACTTCTCTTGTCCTGCTCCCTCTTCATTTCCTCTGCAGCTGAGGCATATACCATGAGGCACAGCAGAGTCAGAGTGCTGGGCAGCCTGCTCCTTTTCTGCCTTCTGCACCTCGTGCTGAGCCATGACAGGGGTAAGGGCTCATTGAGTATCGAGGGAAGGGCAGGGGTGATGGGAGGCTGAGGAAAACGAATAGGACTGTTCATTCCCAAGCTGCAGCTGGAAGGGGAAGCCTGTATGAGGGGCTTACAGGCCCTGGAGTGGCCAGGGGTTTGTTCCAGCTAAGACGGTAGGAGTTAGCTTGCTAAGAAGTGGGGAGAGAGCGCATAGGGCTTCCCTATTGCTGTGTAGGGAGAAGCAGCAGTCCCCAGTTTCTGGGGAAAGAGCTGGATGGGGTGGGGAGAGTGGCTGGCTACTACAGTTCAGTGGATTGTGTTGGGTTATTCTGACTGTATATTTCAAAGCCCCCTGTCTTGGAGCATGAATGAACCTGGGGGGAGGGAAGGGGTATCTTAATCAGTCCTGCGCTTTGTGCTGGCCACATGTGGCATTTCCTGGGCCAGGGACTCACTTTCTCTTGGTGACCTGCTTTATTTATGGGGGGCTATTGTTCTCCACTTTGCCTTTGCCCCTCTGGCTGTCAGAACAACACGTGTAGTACAGGCTAGGCCCTATTTCATTCCCAGGCATATGCAATATACTGTCCCTGCTCCTGGTGCTCCTCCTTTGTTCCCCACTAGGGCGTCTGCTCCCTCATTCCTGTCTCTCCCTGATGTGGGGGCAGGGTCCCCTCAGACAGGACCTTCTAACGGTCTCCTCTGCCCCATTGCTATGCAGAGGAATGGGAGAAGGCTGAAGCAGATGGAAGTGATTTCCCAGCATATCCCACTGAGCTGGGATTGCAAAAAGACGCACACCAGAGTGAGAGAAACAGCTGTCAGTATGTGGCAGTACAAAGACAGTGAGTGCTGATGCTCCAAGCAGACAGACTTTGGCCCAGTAGTGAACTAGTGGAGTGGCCTTGCCAAAGGAAATGTACAGGGAAGGGGTGGAGGCCCCAGCCATTGGGGCATCTAGGACTGGTCACAGCCTTAGCTCATAGATTGCAGGGAGGTTAATCCTGCACGGGCCTCAGGGTGAACTGGCCCTATTGAGCCTCTTTCATCCCCTGTATTCCACTAGAAGTCAGGCAGTAGGAGAGGCTCGCTGGCTGTGTGTGTTTACTGATTCAGAGCCATGACCAGACATGCAGAGCCTGCAAAGGAAACGGTCAGTGTGACTGGTCAGTGTTCTGGTTTGGTAGTTTTCCTTGGGCAACAGCAAGCGCTTTCCCTGCTCAAGCGCCCTCGACGTGCCAACAAGGGATTCCTGGAAGAGGTGCTCAAAGGCAACCTGGAACGGGAGTGTCTAGAAGAGAAATGTAGCTACGAGGAGGCCTATGAAGCCCTCGAGTCCACTGTTCGCACGGTATGTACAGCCACTCTCAGGAAATGTTCCTTCATATGGGTACCGTGAGGAGAGACCAGATAGTCGAGGATCATAGCTTCCAAAGGGTTCATCCAGGGGCTGCCAAGGTGAGGTCCACTGTGTTCCCAGACCCCCTTCAAGGAATGACTTTGGTTCTGTGGCATATTTCCTAATTGGGGCAGGAACTACCTTCCTCTCCTGAAAGGTCAGAGAGGTTCTGGTGGCAGCATCCTTACAGTCCTGGGAGCCCTCCTGTCTGACAGAACGAAAGGGAAAACTCTAGGGAGGTGCCTGACAAGCCCCATCCTTATTACTGGGGGGATGCAGCTTGGTGGAGGTTGGGGGTAAGAGGTTACTTTGAGGGAAATTGGGTATATTTAGTTCTATTTGGAAAAAAATGAGCATCACAATGAGTGTAAATCAGTGTATGCTGGGAGCAAGGTGGAAGACAGCTGGGAAAGGTCTGTACAAGGAAACTAAATCTTAGTTGATACAGGGAAGAGCAAAATATTCTAAAAATGAAAAATTAATTGAAAACAGGTAAGAGTGCACAGGAATTAGGCCTAGGTTAAAGTACAATCTGTGCAGAGCCCCAGGGGTTGAAGTTATTAGGTCTGATTGCAAGATGGGGACCTCAAATAAAAAAAGGCAGAGATTTTAAAAATATAACTAACTAAGCAAGTAAGGGTTAATACAAAAGCAAGACTTCCAAACAGCCACAGCCCCTATCCTGCAAACAGGGCACATGCTTGCTTCTCAGCTCCTGCTAGTCCCAATGGAGCACATGCATGTTGTGGGGATCTGGGCCTATTTTCAATTTTTAGGCCAGTTAAACTAAGCTTGCTCAATTGTCTTTCATTTGCTTTTAAATTGAGACTAACAAGGGCAGTCAGCAGAACAAAACAAGCCTGAAAATATCTAGTTATGCCATAGCTGAGGATGATTTTTATCTATATATATTTAAAATAAGTGAAACTACAGGCTTGCCTACAAGCTGCATTAGTCCACACCAGAAGGGTGTAAATTCTAGTGCGAGCTAGCGTGTAACACACTAGCTGGCCCATGATAGTGCGCACTAAAGTTCTCTAGTGCACCTTTGAAACAGGACTACATTAATGTTCACTTAGGGTTACCAACTTTCTGATTGCAGAAAACCGAACATCCTTGCCCTGCCCCCTGTCCCACCCTTCCTGAGGCCCTGCTCACTCCATCCCCCCCTCTCCGTCACTCGCTATCCCCCACCCTCGCTCTCTCGCTTATTTTCACTGGGCTGGGCAGGAGGTTGGAGTGCGGGAGGGGGTGAGGACTCTGGCTGGGGGTGCGGACTCTGGGCTGAGGCCTCCGGGCAGGGGGATAGGCTGTGGAAGGGGAGTATGGGCTCTGGGGTGGGGCCAGAAATGAGGGGTTCAGGGTGCGTGTGGGCTCCAGGCTGGGGGTTGAGGTGCGGGGGCGTGGGTGATGGCTCCTGCTGGGGGTGCGAGCTCTGGTGTGGGGCCGGGGATGAGGAGTTTGGGAAGCAGGAGGAGGCTCCAGGCTGGGGCCAAAGGGTTTGAGGGGGAGAGGGATGCAGGCTCTGGGAGGGAGTTTTGATGCAGGAGGGAGCTCAGGGCTGGGGGTTGGGGTGCGGTACGGGGTGAGGGATGCAGGCTCCAGGGATCCAGGCAGCACTTACCTCAGGTGGCTCCCAGCAGTGACTGGCATGTCCGGCTCCTAGGTGGAGGCATGGCCCAGGGGGCTCCGCAGGTGCTGCCTCGGCCCGCAGGCGCTGCCCCCACAGCTCCCATTGGCCGTGGTTCCCAGTCAATGGGAGCTATGGAGCCGGCACTTAGGGCGGGGGCAGCATGCAGAGCCCCTGTGGCTGCGCCTCCGCTTAGGAGCTGGAGGGAGATGCTAGCTGCTTCCAGGAGCTGCGTGGAGCCAGAGCAGGCAGGGAGCCTGCCTTAGCCACGCTGTGCCGCCGACCGGACTTTTAACGGCCCAGTCAGCAGTGCTGGACTGGAGCCGCCAGGATCCCTTTTTGACCGGGCATTCCGGTCGAAAACTAGACATCTGGCAAACCTATGCATGCTCTTAGTACACACCAGCAGGGTCCACACAAGCCAGTTAGTGTGCAACATGCTAGTGTGTACTAGAATGTATACCCTTCTAGCAAGGACTAACGTGCCTTATAGATAAGTCTGGTAGCAATCTTGTACAATCAGCCCCTGACTCCTTTGCTTATGATGTATCCCTTGCCCCCAAGCTTTGTCAGTTATTTGTCTTTCCAGTTTAGGAGGTTTTGGCACCAGGGATTGTCCCTTACTATATGTCTAGGCAGCACCCAGCACATTTGGGATACTACTGTAATATAAATCATAGAGATAATGCTTGCCACTGTGCCTGACCTTGCAGGGATGGAAGCAGAGAGGAGTGTGTGGCTGGCTGATGTAAACTTAGGGACCCCAAGCCCAGAATGGAGAGGGAAGGCAGCTGACCACAGGAAAGGCCATTACTGCCAGTGTTCCCCCACCTGAATTGCTTTGTCTCCAGTCCCCTGCTACTCCCCAAGTGGGGTAGTTCTCAAGGCAGTATTCTGTTTGAAGAGGATTTGACAGCTGGAAACTGTGATGATGCTGAGATAGGTCAGCCAGAAGTGAAATGGGCTGCTTTCAAACGCCTCCATTGGGGCAGGGCTGTGATAGGAGAGGTATCCCCAGAATTTGACAGGAAAGCATGTGACTCAGTGTCACTTTCTCTCTGTTGTGCTCCAGTATCTTTGATCTCAGCAGGGCCAGAGTTTGCTCCCTGTTTGCCAAGAAGGGACGTTCTCTTACTGAGATGGTGTCTGGCTTTGGTTTGAATTGCAGAAGTTAAGGCAGGGCTGAGGCTCCATTACTCGGATCCTAAGTGTTTGCATTTGTTTTGCAGAATGAATTCTGGAGGAAATACAGGGGTAAGTTGGTTAAAGTCCTGCAAATGCTTTGATGTCCCACAGGCTGTACTGCTGTACCCCAAAGAGCTGGCTCCCTAGCTTCGTTAGCAGGGCCCACTCCCCAGGGCTCTATCCTCTCATATGTTATGCTGACTTGAGCTGCAGTGCTCATTGGAGTGCCTGTGACCTGACAGGTTTCTTGCTCTTGTTTGTTAGAATGTGAATCCCAGAGGAAGCTCAGGACAGCTCTGGATGAGTGTCTGACAGGTAAGAGGGGCTTGGAGACCTTGTGAGCCACTGGAGATGGTGAGTTCCTGGAAACCTGCTCCCAGCACAATTTGGGAGGAAATTCTAAAGAAGCAGGGAGGTCATCAGATGGACAATATCAGGGGGAGCAACAGCACTTAGAGGGGGAGGCAGAGCCCCCTAGACTTTCCTGCCATATTGATCCCCCCACAAACACTTTTCTTTAACATCCTAAAAACCCTGGAGTCCCCCTTGGAATAGCATAGGATAGATGCCCAGCTGCCGCCAGCTCCAGTGAGGAGCCAGTTCCTCACTACTATTCCCAGCTACCCCCAGCTCCAAATCAAGGCACTGAGATACAGAAGTGAAGTCCATCAGGATGATCTGGGGGTAAAGTTTGTTTAAGGTGGGTCTATGCATGTATGTGAGAACCCAAGTCAGGGATTTGTAGGCTGGTACCTATGGACTCCATGAAAATAGTGCCTCTGATTTCCCTCTGGATCTGACTTGCCCTCTGTTGGGACTTTGGCAGGAAACTGTGTCGCAGGCAGTGGGCAGAACTATCAAGGGACAGTTTCTGTCACCAAGTCGGGGATTGAATGTCAGTTCTGGACAAGCAAATTCCCTCACAGACCTGAGTAAGTCCATAACCCTCTTCCGCACACACTAAATCCCAGCTCTGGTTAGAGGAGCCAGGTTGTGAGGAAGACCACAACCCTGACTGGAGGGGTTCTCTAGGCTGCTAGCTACCTCATCACTCCTTTCTCATAGGTTTAACACCACCACCCATCCGAATGCCAATCTCACCAAGAATTACTGCAGGAACCCAGACAACAACCCAAATGGCCCCTGGTGCTACACCCGAGACCCAGCAGTGCGATGGGAGGAGTGTGCTGTTCCAGTGTGTGGTGAGCCTCGACACTGGGCCCTGAGATACCCCGCTCCCTGGGAGGGAAGAATTTACTCTAATGCTGATACTAAGGACCTCAAGAAAGGGGAGGGTCTGTGGAGAGTGGGTGTGGGAGGGAGGAGTCCTGTGGGAATGGGTGGCAGAGCTATGGCTTGGAAGGCAAAGGCACACTGAGCTGGAGAGGGCTCCCCATTGTGCTGCCCATTCACCTAGCTTGCTTAGGTCCCTCTGAAGTGCTCAGTCTTTACTATTCTTTGCTACTCTACAAAGGGCCGGCCCCAGGCACCAGCGAAGGAAGCAGGTGCTTGGGGTGGCCAATGGAAAGGGGCGGCACGTCCGGGTCTTTGGCGGCAATTCAGCGGCGGGTCCCTCAGTCCCTCTCAGAGCAAAGGACTCGCCGCCAAATTGCCGCCGAAGAATGAAGCGGCGCGGTAGAGCTGCCGCTGAAGTGCCGCCGATGGCGGCTTTATCTTTTTTTTTTTTTTTTTTCCGCTTCACCGCTTGGGGCGGCAAAAAAGCTGGAGCCGGCCCTGACTCTAAATAATGTTGTGCCCCCTAGAGCCTTGCAGCAGCTGCATCACTGCTGCCAGCCTCAAGCATTCATAAATCAGGAATGAATACATCACATTTTTTTGCCTACTTTCTGTTTTTTTTAAGTAACCGTTATGGCAAAACCATCCTTCCCCTATTTGTGTGTGATACCCTCAGGTTCAAAACACACAAACACACACACACTCACTCACTCACTACTTGACCTCCGCTTATCCTCTCATCATCGAGGGGGTGGGGAACTGCCATTCTCAGCAGTGCCAGCCCCAAAGGTTCCAAAATCATGTTAGACATGAAACACGTGTGAGATTGCCCCCAAAACCATGATTTAAATATAGAGAGAGACCAAAAAACAAAATATAGGTTTTGGGTTATTTTTTTTTTTAAATTCCTGCCCCCTCCAGTGTGTGGGGGGGTGACAATTGGTGGTACCAATAGTCCCAAATTGATTAAGGTGATTTTTGGCACCTTGCTGCAGGAGCTCTCAGCCCCCATCTGCCAGCCTCACATCTGTTCCTGCAACTCCAGGTATTTCTTGCCCCCTCCCTCTTCCCAGGCCAGGTGTTGTAGGGAAGGAGAGTGGAGGGGGAAGGCGCAGAGGAACCCTGCTGTTCCCACCACTGCTCACAGGAGGGGAGCAGAGCCATCCAGAGCTGCTGGGCTCTTTCTGCTCCCTCCTCCCCTCCTGTGAGACTGGCCTGGGGGTGGGCGGGTCCTGAGGGGATAGCTCTGCCGGCTTCCCCAGGAGGTGGGGCAGGCAGCCAATCAGAGAGGGTTTTACCTCAGGCAGAGCTGAAACATGAGAGGAGTTGGCAGAAGGGTTTCTGCCCTGGCCAAAGGCGGGTGATGCATGAAGCACTCTCCAGCCTTGGCAGTGCTGTGTCCTTCTCCTCCCTGCCCCTCTCTCGCTTGGCAGCTGCCCCCACCTTGTGCTCTGCCCCCTGCTCTCCCACAGGCTGCTGCACCCCCTAGACATCCACTTAGTCTCCCCTGTGCAGGCTGCAGCCCCCTGCACCGCATTAGCCCAGCCCCTCTCCCCAGTGTCCTCTCTAGCTCCCTCTAGAGTGGCAGCCATCTTCCTTGAGATCAGCATGGCCTCAGTCTCATTGAACAGATGGGATGTGATAGCCATCTCGCTAGGAGCAGCCTCACGTCCACATGCAGAGTCTGTCAGGAAATGGCAGCCGTTGTGCCAGGCGTCAGCCCTGCTGACAGTAGGCGATGGCAGCCCTTCTGATAGGGGAGCTTTCAAGGCTGAAACTAGGAATAAGAGCATGTGAATATATATATTTTTTAAATGCCACTGTTCCCCTTTGCTGGGGGAGACTCGGCCACTAGTCCCTGTGCTGTTCTCTGCTCCTTGGCCAGTTTCTGACCCATGGCAGAGGCTTTTACTAGCTGACTCTCCCTTAGCCATCATCTTGCTTACATGCTGAGAGACTAGCACGTTAGAGAGGCATCATTTCCCTTCATGGATGGTGCCCTGGTTGCTCATGCAGGGCAGGAACTGGCTACACCAGGGAGGGGCAGCTTCTTGGAAGCTAGGCTTGACCCTGCTGCTGCTTGCTCAGGTAGCTACGATATCACAGATGTGCCTGCTGCTGTCACAGCAGCTGCCAACACTGGGGCTCCAGTACTACACGAGGAGAATGAAAGGAGGGTGAGGCCAAGCTACAGCTGCACAGTACCTCTCCTGGTGTCTGCCTGCCTGCCCAAGAAACTGGAGCCCTGCTCCCCATGACTTGCTGCCAGGCGAGACCTGTGAGAGAATGAGTACAGAACTAATGGACTTTGGGGCTGTGAAGAATATTTTGTCTCATTGACTGAGGCAGAAATGTTTTGAGGGGGCCTGTGGTTTGGAAGCTGGCTGCACATCACTGCGAAGGGCTATCTCCCCATGTGCTCGAAAGGAGTGGAGGGCTGTGGTCGCTCTAGCTCAGAACTATAAGTGGTTTCTTGGGTAACCCTCCACACAGGGCCGTCCTTACCCATACGCAAAGTACGCAGCTGCGTAGGGCACCAGGAAATTTGGGGCACCAAATTTCCTGGTGCCCTGCTCAGCTGCGTGCTGCTCCAGCTCCTGCTCTGCCTCTTTCCCCAGGACCCCGCCCCTGCCCTAGCCCCACCCCCACTCCCCTGAGGACTCCAGAAGCGGTCGGTCCTGCACTCACCGGTAAGTGCCTGCTCCGCTCCCCTGGCTCCCAGCCACGCTGCCCACAAGTGCTGGGGTGCGGTTCCCCCCCCCAAAGCCTGGGAGCCAGGGGAGCAGAGCAGGCTGGGGCCGGGTCACTCCATTTCCCGCAGGAAGTGCCTGGGGCATCAATATAACTGCCTTGTAGGGAGCCTTCCCCTGAAAATGCAAACACACTGAAGTTCCATTAACACCTGGGGATGGCACAGAGAAGTGGGATGAAGGTCTGCTTCATTTTACTTTGAGTGAAGCAGCATCCCCAGGTGCCTCATTGGTGAGAAGGGGGCTCCTGGGCTGTGTGGGGTATCCCAGGGGATTCAGGGTGGGGACTCCCAGACATAGTGGAGTGATGGGACATAATGAAGTCCTCTGGGGCCTGCTGGAATCTGGGCTGTAGCAGACACCAGCACTTCCCACTGCAGGTCCGTGAGTCTGATAACAGCTGTCTTGCTCCTTCTCTTTCAGGTCAGGACAAGACCACAGTTCCATTTAGTCCCCGGTCCCCTCCACTGGACAAAACACAGCAGCCATGTGAAACGGACAAAGGGATGAATTACCATGGGAATCTCTCTGTCACCATCTCTGGGACCAAGTGTTTGCCATGGGCCTCAGACAAGGCAAAGGAGCTGTCCCATGGAAATACATTTTCCCGAGAAGTGAAGCTGGTGGAAAATTATTGCCGGAATCCTGATGACGATGATGAAGGTGTCTGGTGTTATGTGGATCATCCAAATACTACCTTTGAGTACTGTGACCTGCACTACTGTGGTGAGGCGTGTCAGTGGGTATGGGGCTGCCATGGGGATCTTGGGCCTGCAGGGTGGGAGAAATTCACAGCAGCCAGGAGGATACAGTACTGTGGTGAAGGGATCCTGTAGTGAGGAGTGGGTGGGCTACAACCTCATGGGAGACTACACGTATGGGATTCATCTGTTTACATGAAGTCATGCATGTGTGGGTCACATGGTGTATGTGTACACATGTAAGACTATGCCTGAGGTTTGAGGGGCCCTTTATTGACTGACAACCCCATCCCCCTGCATCACCTCAATATGTGCCCCCATATTCCAGCTAACTGGATGCTGCTTATTAGTTCACCTGTTGGCCAGAGGTTGGGAAGGAGAATTAGTGAACCAATGGTCTTGCTTAAAAAAGCAATACTTCCACCAACCCCACTATGTGTGGGAAGGGATGGTGCCACTTCTGAAGTCCTATGTAAAACGCTGGAGCTTTGCCTCTGAACATCTCTGTCTGTCTCTCTCAGCGAGGCCTCTGGATGAGATGGACGAAGCAATAGCAGGGAGGACCATTACCCAACAGCACCAAACCTTCTTTGATGTTAAGACTTTTGGTTCAGGTGAAACAGGTGAGCAAAGGACCCAGGAGGCACAAACATAGCACCAAAAGTGCTGCAGAAGCTGCAACTCCTTCCCACAATGCATTGTTCCTCAGAAAAAAAAGCCTGTTAAATGCCTACTGCTGAAAGCAGAAGTGGATGTTAAAACTACTTTAGGTTTTGTCTAAAAAGCTCATCCAAAGCTAGCCTCCAGTTGTGAGGAACCTCTCAGTCCTTACAGTCCCAGCTTTCCCCAGCAGGAGGTGCCGTGGGGAGATCCCTGCTACTTCAACCCTGGTTCAGAGCAAGAAGTGCTGTAGGAGAAGGTGCAAGACTGCTGGCTTTGGGAGATCTTCCAGTCCCAGCCTCTCCCAGCAAAGAGCACAGTAGAGAATGAGTAGGGTTACTGTCTTTTGAAATGCAAAAAAATCAGCACTTCCTACCCCCCCACCCCCAAGGCAAGCCTGCCACAACCCCAACCACAAGGCAATTCTGCAAACCCCCCCCTTCAACAGCCACTTATAGTATATAGAGGGAAAACATCATCGATAACAAATGGGCATTTGTTTTATCAGCACATTTTGCCAGCCACCCTTTAGTCTGTTTCGTTAACCAGTTGTCATTGAATGTGCATTTTTTTGCATTCTGATGTGAGCTTTATTTTTTTTATTGGGGGGAGGGGAGTAGTAGGATCACTCACACCATCGCCCTGATCTTTCATTATTTAATATGCCTTGCATGTCTCCTCAATCCTGCGTGACTCAAACCCTCTCTCGCACGTGCAGTGTGCTTGCATGTTGGAGGGCAAGGAAGCTGTTATATTTTCAACAGTTTTGATGTGTTATTGCTTAAACTGTGGAAGTGGGAACACTGCAGCATTGTTAGCTGGACACACAAACTTTTAACATTAGATATCCCAGTGTAGTGTGGTGATAATGTAAATCTTTAGACCCATATGGAAGAAACCAGGCAGATTACATTTATTTTTCTGGTAACTGGCAAATTCATGTCAAATACCACCCAGGTGGTAACCCTAAAAATGAGGCAGCTACCAATTACTCCCAGTCAAGCATGTTGTTGTCTGTAGAGTGGGTCCCCTGTATTGCAAATCAGGTAGAGTAACAGAGACAGGCTGCCTGGTTTTTCAGATTGTGGCATCCGTCCCCTGTTTGAGAAGAAACAGATTTCTGATAAGAGTGAGCATGAGCTGTTGGACTCCTACATTGAGGGCCGGATTGTAAAGGGGGAAAATGCAGAAGTTGGCAGTGCCCCCTGGTAAGTACTGTTGCTGCAGTTTCTCTACAGTCTTTCCTTTTAGACCAGGGGAAATCAGGAGTCTGGCAGCTGGCACGGTGTATTCAGCCAGCACCACCTCTACTCATAGCCCCTTCTGGGGTTGACTTGGCAGCACTACTACAGCTGGACAGAGACTCCCTCTCTCCTTTGGAGCCAAGTGCATGGCTGCCATGGAAAGGGAAGCACTCTGCAGACAGTGTGTTTCACCCTCATCCTACTTGTTCCAGTCCTGCAGGCACAGGTCTCTGTTGGTGGCCATGGCAGGGATTAGAAGTCTAATTAGATGGGGAAAGTGGCAGGGGAAAAGTACCCTTCAGATAGGACTGCAAGGAGAATACTCATCCTCAGTTCCAGGTCCTAAGGACTAGACCTGACTCATGCTAGGGGAGTGCTGTCATGGTCTCCTGGGGCAGTGAGGGCAGGTTTCCCTGGTCATGCCAAACTGCTGTTCCTGCAAGGCACGCAAGAACATGCAGCCAGCTGAGCCAGTGCCCTGGGTAAATCTCTCACCTTCTCTTCCCATCCCAGGCAGGTGATGCTTTTCAGGAAGAGGCCACAGGAGTTGCTGTGTGGTGCCAGCCTCATCAGCGACCGCTGGGTCCTTACTGCTGCCCACTGCCTCTTTTACCCACCCTGGGACAAGAACTTCACCACAGATGACATCTTGGTGCGGATTGGGAAGCACCAGAGAACAAAGTAAGAACTTGAACGGGGGAGGGAGGGGGAAGCAGATGAGTCCCCCATGAGTGTAGTGGGAGAATAAAGTTGGGGTCTAGAGAGGACGTCATCTGGCATTATGGGAACCCCTGTGGCGAACCAGACTGTCAGGTGGTTCCCCAGGTTATAGTGGGTTCCTATGGAGATACCACTCACTGAGGCTCTGCTGATCCCAGAGTCTAAAGTGAAAGGGAGGGCAGTTTGGGCCACTCTTCCTTGTGAGAAGGTTGGCGCGGCAAGACAGCCAGAGGGCCAGCAGCCCCCAGAGCTCACAGCTGCTGCACAGTCACTTCTCTCCTTCCGTGGGAATCGTTTCAGGTACGAGCAGAGCATAGAGAAAATCGCCATGCTGGATAAAATCATCATCCATCCCAAGTACAACTGGAGAGAGAACCTGGACCGAGACATTGCACTGTTGCTCCTGAAGAAACCTATAGTCTTTAGCGACCGCATCCACCCTGTCTGTCTGCCTACCAGGGAGCTGGTGCAGAGGTGAGGAGGCTGGAGGGAGAAAGCAGCCCCAGAACCCCAGGGAGCAAGGCTGCAAATGTCTCCTTTGGGTCTACATGAAGGATCAGAAAAGCCCTAGCAAAAAGCAGGATGCATCTTCTGTGCTGGTTTGCAATAGGGGAGCCAGTTGGTGAGGTGCCCCTCCAGAGTCTGGGCAGTGCTAGGCTATAAGGGTGACATGTAATATTTCCATGTGCTTTAACCTTGCTTCTTCCTGCAGCCTGATGCTGTCAGGATTCAAAGGGCGGGTATCTGGATGGGGAAATCTGTATGAGACCTGGAGCTCTGGCACCACCGCACTGCCCTCAGTTCTGCAACAGGTGAACCTCCCCTTAGTCAGCCATGATACCTGCAAGGCATCCACTAACATCAAACTCACTGAAAACATGTTCTGTGCAGGTAAGTGCTGCTGGGTGTGCAGAGCTAACTGCTGCACATGGGGGCAGTGATGGATGGGTCAGGGGGCAAAGTTGCTCTCGGTACCATGTGCCATAATGCAAGGGATCACTTAGCTTAATTACTGCCCAGTAAACTTTGATCTATCCTAAAGAAATAGTATACCCAGGGCATGAATGAGCCTCTGGAATTCCCAGCCTATGTAGGGGATGAATAGGGGGACCAGACAGCAAATGTGAAAAATTGGGACAGGGGGTGGGGGGTAATAGGAGCCTATATAAGAAAAAGACCCAAAAATCGGTACTGTCCCTATAAAATTGGGACATCTGGTCACCCTAGGGATGAAGAATTTAGAGCCATGAATAAGGCTCTTGGGAATCAGCTGGTTGTGAGAGATGAGATAGAATGGGGCTTGGAATTCTCCCCTCCCTCCTGTACAGAATTAGCAGAGTCTAACATTAGGGAATTCTGAGGGCTTGGCTGTAGTAGTGGTCAATACCTAGGATACTGAATGTGAGGGAGTGACTGCCTGAGCCTGTTTTACATAGTGCTTCATTCAACTTGCATTGCTGAAAACAGATTTCAGAGTAGCAGCTGTGTTAGACTGTATCCACAAAAAGAACAGGAGTACTTGTGGCACCTTAGAGACTAACAAATTTATTTGAGCATAAGCATCCGAAGAAGTGGGATGTAGCCCACGAAAGCTTATGCTCAAATAAATTTGTTAGTCTCTAAGGTGCCACAAGTACTCCTGTTCTTATTGCTGAAAACATTAGTGTTAAATAGCACCAGCTGAGGGCAGACACTGCAGCATTTGGAGGCAAGGAAACAGACTTTTAGATAATGAAAACAGAGGGAGGCTGTTCCAGAGCTGCAGCAGAGAGAGCCCTGACCCTAGCAGTGGTGATACCAATAATATAGGATGGGGTGGGCAAACTTTTTGGCCCGAGGGCCACATCTGGGAACAGAAATTGTATGGCGGGCTATGAATACTCACAAAATTGGGGTTGGAGGGGGCGGTGGAGTCTGGGCTCTGGCTGGGGGTGAGGAGTATGCTCCAGGCTGGGACCGAGGGGTTTGGAGGGCAGGAGGGGGATCAGGGCTGGGGCGTGGGCTCTGGGGATGAGGGGATTGGGGTGCAGGAGGGTGCTCCAGGCAGGGACCAAGGGATTTGAGGGGGGATTTAGGGGTGCAGACCATGGGCAGCGCTTATCTCAAGTGGCTCGCCGAAGCAGCAGCATGTCCCTGCTCCAGCTCCTACATGGAGGTGTGGCCAGGCAGCTCCCATTGACCGCAGTTCCTGGCCAATGGGAGCTGCAGGGGTGGTGCTTGGAGTAGGAGCAGTGTGCAGAGCAGTCTCCCCAGTCTACCCCTACCCGTAGGAGCGGGGGGGCTATGCCACTGCTTCTGGGAGCCATGTAGAGCAGCCCCTGGCCCCACTCCCCAATGGGAGCTTGAGGGCTGGATTAAAATGGGTGGCAGGCTATAGTTAGCTCACCCTGCTATAGGAAGAAATCAGGTGAGAATAGCAAAAAGTCTTTTAAGGGGAATAGAGTACAGCAAGGCTAGGGATGATCTTAAATAAGGGCAACTGGATCCTGTACTAAATAGGGGAGGGGATTAAATGAATGTAAGAAGACTGACTGGATTTTGCTCAAAAAACCTAGGACTTAGAGTAGGGACCTACAATATCCCAGGCCAAAGCTTTAGTGTGCGTGGGCGTGAGGTCACAGTAGATGGGAGTCTGGGGCAGTGTACTAATCCAGGGGAGAGGAGATGGAATTAAGGCAGCACTGGAAACAAGGTGGGAGTGGCTATAAGAAAGCACCTTTATTTGAGCTTTTCAATGGAAAGATACTAATCAAGTAAGCTGGTAGCTTTATGATGATACACACAGAGGGTGAGTAAGGGCATGTTTGGAAGGGCCATACTGTTAGTACCATTTCCCAGCCTTAGCATCGGTGTAACATTAAAGGTACAAATGAAGAAGTAGAGAAAACAGCCCTTTGCCTCTTCTCCTGTAGGGTATGGTCCTGAAGACTCCAAGAGAGGGGATGCTTGCGAGGGGGACAGTGGGGGCCCTTTTGTCATGAAGGTATGTGCAACAAGCATGGTGGCTTTGCTCATAGGAGACTTTGGGAGGAGGTTGCCGCAGAAGCCTTAGAACGTTAAGAGGGCTGAAGTGATAGTGGGGAGGTGTTCTCTCAAATGGCTGCAGATGCAGTTACCTAAACAGTAGATCTATTTCTGGTTTTGAACTGAAGAGAAATCCTGAAATAATCCAGCCACATTCTACATTGATCAAGCTTCATGCATTCTCAGACCACCTGTGAAGAGTTTAAGGGAGTGATAGCTTGCCTGAGCAGATCTACCCCAGCGGGGTATCCAGTTAACACGTGACTATTAGTGCTCCCATCCAACTGGGCTACAGCTGTCACTGTTGAGCTCTACCTAGCACAGCTGGAGGTCCAGGCTGGCTAGGGCACAAAAATCTCACTGTTCTTGAGGCTAGTACTGTGTAGAGCACTAATTTATTTTCCTGTCTGTCTCTGTAAGAGCCCACAAGAAAACCGCTGGTATCAGGTGGGGATCGTCTCATGGGGAGAAGGCTGTGATCGTGATGATAAATATGGATTTTATACACATGTATTCCGCTTGAAGAAATGGATGCTAAAAACCATCAACAAATATGGGCAATAAAGAAAGCATTTGTCACATCTCAACTCTTACAGCTGCTTTAATTTGTAGCAATATGAACACTAAGGAAAGTGAAGTAAGATGTCCAGAGGTATTCTCTAGCATCATTGCCAATAAAATGGTTATAGCAACAATTGTACCTGCTTTGTATGTTGGCAGTGCTGAGAACAGGACTTGGTTCCATCCAACTCTAATCTGTGTAATTAGTGCCCTAGCACCTGAGCACTAATAAGGACATGTGTATTAAACAAGTCAGCTTACCAATCTTTACCCCTGCCCCTAGAGATAAGCATGTCACATTATCCTAGTTTTAGACAGAGGTAATGCCTAAAGTCACAAACCAAGAGACCTTGATTATGTGCTCCTTGTCAGTTGTAGAGCATCAGCTTCTAGCAACTAGACTGAGCCTACAGAGAAGGAAACACTAAACTGCTACAAGGGGGCAGTTAAAATGCTACTATAAAAAAAATCTCACCCTCAGCAAGAGGAAGGCAAGGGGCAGCTGTCCACCTCCAAGGAAAGGGTATTGTATGAGTAGAAGACATGGGAAGCACCCTAAACAAATACTTACAGTGTTCATCTTCGAATAAGCACTTTGCTAGTTAGGTGGCTGGGGCTCTTGGCTAGAAGAACCACTTTGCACCCCCCCCCCCCCACACACACAGCGCCCCCAGATGGCCTGTTCTCTGACAGTTGACAATGTAGTCAGTGTAAACAGTTGGTTGTGCTGCAAGGGAAAGATTGCATTTTTGAAAAGGGATTAGGTAATAGGTTAAGAAGGTTACTTAGTTTTTCTGAACTGCTGGGATGTAATTAAACCCATCAGAACAATTGCTGGACACTAGGCTCCCTCTCCCCCACTAGGTAATCTAAAAGTCATTCCTACAGCAGTATAGTGAATCTGGGACAGCTAGTATGACAAGGCTGAGAGCACCACCATATGGAATAAGGGAACACTTTAAAATGGTCAAATTCCACAAAAAACTTACAGGGCTATCAGGTGCTTGTTTTATACATTTAATGGCCTCTGCTTACAAGAGTCTGGAGTAAAATGTCCTGACTATGAAAACAGTTGTCAGGTCTAATGTACTTAGTCTAACAGTAGGAAAATGAGGAAAAAATAGACTAGTTTCATGTCTGGTACAGTCACTTTAAAGGCAGACTTGTTACACACTTGTTTTGAAACAAAATTTAACTAATGGGATGGAAATATTTGCAATAGGCTGATTAGTGTGCTTTTTTTTTTAAACTAACGGCCTACATTTTACCTATCACGTAATTCCTGGCCCAACCATACACCATTAGACAAGAATAAGCTATACTGCAGAAGCAACATAGGGCAAAAACCTTAGATAATACTGGTTTCTACCACTGATACTTAATTGCTTCTGAACTTAACATCCAAAATAATGTGAAATGTAAGTTAGTGTTGTACAGGTTTACAGGCATTCCTTTTACTTCACTCACTACTGCACCAATTGGTAATTACAAACAGAGGATGCAGCATTTTACAACATATAGTAATGTAACAGCAGAACTGAGTCAGTCAGCTACTTTGAGACTTTGTGCAAAAGGCAAACCATAACCCAGAAAGTAACTGGCAATTTATCAGTGCAACACAGCACTAATTGAGTGATGACAGCAGTGGCTCCCATTCCAGCAAACACAAATTGTCCAGCTACACCCTGTCAACACTTTGCCCCAGCTGCAGATTGTCTGAGTGCTCTGTCATACCCTTTTCAATGGAATAGAGCTATGAGGCCACCCTCTGCCTAGAATTATTTTCAGAAGAACTGGACAAAAAGCCTGGCAGGAACAGAATAGGGGTGAGACGTGATGGACATCAGCTGGCCACTAACATAAGATGGGGATTCCTTCCATACTACACAGACTCACTACAGGCACTAAGTAGCAGGTTACTGCCTCACTAGAATGCCAGCCCCATCATTTCTGCAGGAGAATTGCAGAAGCTGCAGCACAGAATTGATATACAGACAGTAATGATTTAAACTATATTCTTCAGAGATGCCTTAAAATTCAGCCAAGATTAGTTAAATGCCAGCCCTGTGGTAGGAACTGCTGGCTTAGAGAATAGATCATGAAGCAGCAACTTTTCAGGGAGCAGAGATGAACCTAGAAGCAGAAATAGAGTACAGAAACCCTCTGTACCATGAGTATCACAGGATACAGCTCAAAAACACATGCAAGTCATATTCCATAACAAGTGTGCTGAAGACAACCATCACATTAAATAGTAAGCAGTCAATGCAATATGGGTCAAAATTTTATGCCCAAGGATTTCTGGGGGAAGTAGTAGCCAGAGGAAATGTCCTCTTACTAATCACAACCAATGGCAACAATCTTCAAAAAGTGGTATTATCACAGAACTTGTAGACATTTTGATTTTAGCATGCCATCACCCTAAGCAGATTCTTATAATTGCAATGGTGGTTCTGTAGGCTGGGATGCACTTGCATATACACAGCTACCTGAGGGAAAACCCCATGAGCGTTGACTCCTAGCTGAGAATATTTTGAACATGGGATGCCGCTTACTTATTCTGTAAGAACATTTCTCTCTCTCAGTAACCTCTCTTGAAGGGGGCAGATGTGTCACTGCACTTATTCACAATGGGGACTATGCTTGCTCTTGGTAGTGACTTCACAGGGCCTGTAACTTGAATTTGCTAGATAGACTAACAAATGTCTAGCAAAGTCAATAATCCCTTTCTACTTCCTGAATGTTCTTAGGAAGAAGTTGAAAGGCAGCCATATTAACAGCAACAATACTGCTGGTAGAAATAAAAGGCTGAAAAGTCCAGGGTTCCCTTCCAGGAATAGTAGCAGCAGCAGCGCAGGGCAGCCAATTGCTGTATTCAGCTCAAGAGCTGCTGGTTTCAGCTCAGCAATACCCATTCACTAGCATCCAAGAATACACAGTAGCTTCTATTCCCATGGACAGTCACTGCTGCTCCTACAGGGACTGGTATAGTTAATGCAAACTTTATTTACAAAAGATACTTAAATTAGTTACGCCATGCCATGCGTCCATACAGAATCAACAGTTCAAGGATTACATGGAGAAGAATTCACAAAATTAAAAGTGAAACCACTAAAGAGCTTCTAAGAGTTAAGAAAAGATCTTAATACAATTTTACAAATAAAAAAACAAGGTATGAGAAGCTAGTCTGAGCAGGATGACAGCTGTTTACAGGTCTGTACACTACACCTAATACACAATCTTCTATTGTCAAGAGATGCTCACTGAGAAGCAGAGTATGTACAAATACTTGTGCCACAATGACTCAGATCATCCCCCAAAATCCACTGTATTATACATAAATCAGTTTGTATACACTAGGCCTAAATGAGGCCCCTTTAACTATGAAGACTTCTAGTTTAGTAAACTAAAGCTGAAGACAGCTAAGCAGCAGCCATGCTCTCTCTCTCAAACAGCTTCATTTGCGACTGCTTTTTATTCTCTCCAGTCTTTTTTTCAAGTCATCAATATTGGCTGCTGTGGAAGAGGAGGAAGAGGTGGTGGTTCCAATGCCAGAGGAGTGAGTCTGATTGGAGTCTAGGTCCAAATGCTGGTAGTGCTCCCGTGACTCACGGAGCTGAGAGAGCTTACTGTGCAGCATATCCGTGGAGGATGCAACTGTAGGGGCTGGTTTGGAGAGCAGTGATGTCAATGGTGGTCTGTCTTCCTGCTATGGGGTGGGGAAAAGGAGATGTTATTTAAGACACTGGAGGGCAAAAGCTGTGCAAGAAATCCACACCATAAATGGATGGCTCCTCACCCTCATGGGAAACATGCAACAGAGGAAAAAAAGGAGTAGTCCAACATTAGTACAGTGTATACATTCCAACTCCTCCATTTCCAGGACAGATTATATGTAAGCTATTGCCATGGTGCATTAGCTACTTGGAACCAGGAGGTCACCATTTTGTGTTAGTGGTGACCAGAGTGAATCGCATGCTTCTCATGATCACTAGCATTAAGCACAAGTCTTCTGAATTACCTGTATGTGTGAAAAGCTTTCTACATGTTTGGGCCTACCTACCTTAGAGCCTAAATCTTTGCTTAATCACTTACTGCTTCTCATCTCAATTAACTAAAGGAGCCAAAGGTCTGCACTATTGTGTACTACTTAGGATTTAAAGCAAAGCCCATCCTCACACAACAGCTCTCATTCTCTTCAGAGATGATAAAAATCAGTTCCCATTTCATTGGGAAGGCCTGCTGAGATCCTGCAAGTCTCCCACTGTATTTAAACACTCAGTGTAGACAGCGGTGCTCCCACATATGGCATCATGAGGACTCAGTTAGGAATTCTGAAGTAACTGAGCAGAAAGAAAACTTGGGATTGCCTGACAGAATTCTTCTGCCATCAGGTGCTTCAGAGTCAAGTCACTGCTCTCCTGGGAATCTGCAAAAGTCAGTGACAGAGTTGAGTTTACGTCTGCACCACATGCCATTTTGCACTCAGATGTAAACTGATGTGCATGTCCTATCTTAAAAGGTAAGGGTAGTGTTTTACCTAAATCTATACCATCTAATCCTTGTAGCTATTCCAGGAGTCACCAGTGCGTCTAAAGTGGCTGGCAGTAACCATCTTTCAGTGTGTAACTAAGCTTCCCAGAGAGCAGTGGATGTAGTGAAGGTTTGACCCATTCCATAGGTTCCTGATGTAACGTACTGAGCACATTCAGCATTATTGCTGCCTCAAAATCCCATGTTCCCCAACCACACAGCCGTTCATTCATGCAGCTTTTAGTTGTTGTAGAGTGGGAGGGTACAGCAGTTTAGAACACTCACTGTCATGTGACCCAGGAGTACAGCTTAATATAGGCATTACCCTTTAGAGACCAGTAATTAAAGGTAAGTCATTTAGCTTTTCCCTGAAACTCACAGTTAATTACCTGGCAAGAGAAGACAGACTCCAGAGTTGTAGCGGCTAGTGGTGTCTACATCAGTGCAGCAGACAAAAGGGAATTGAAGCACTAACAAAGTCTATTCAGCCAGGTAACGGCTTTAAAGCCATTTACACCAGGAAAGGTGACATGCAGTCAGATGGCAAGGACATGCAGTAAGACTCATTGGGATCAGAGTCTGGGCACTGTACAGCAGATCT